TAATACACCTGCCAAAAGAAACAAGAACCCATGGAAATCGACTTAATGACAGAAGGGAACAGGAACGCACGAACTGAACCGACAAAAGAAGTTTAAAGAAGACATATACTTCACACACACACAGAAGAAAATACATTTACATTCTGCAGCTTACCTGGAAAGCGGAGTTATGTTCAGGTACTAGGTTTTTCTTTTCAAGCACAACCACGGTCCTACCGACAACATCCAGATACGAGTACTTCTTCTGTGGAGGTCGAGAAAAACGTTGATTTAATGACGCAATGTAGAAAGTAAAGGGAACCAGATATAGTTCCAGGCACAGATCAACAATACATGCCAGAGGGAACTCAATAGTCAATGCTAAGTGGACATATATTTCCAGGCACCTCTCAACAATATATGCAAAATTATATAAACGTTTACTAACCTCTAGGTGTTGCTCCACCTGGAAGGGAACCACGGCAGAAGGGCCTGTGGATCCCTCGGGTAAAACAACCTGAAACATGTAATAAGAAGTCAATTAGTCAAGATGGAGAACAATATGATGCACGTAATATATGAAGGAAATCAGATAAAGAAGTTGATATCACAGTGCTAGATCCACCTTCAAGGTCAACTTGTCAACCACGGTCTCGGCAAGAGGACAACCAAAAGTGAAGTTGAGGTACCGCCTGCCATCAGGTGACTCAAAAAGGAAGTCTTGCAATGGTAGCCCATAACCAATGACAAAAGTAGCTTTCCATCCACCAAACAAAGGATACCGTGGTTCAAATTCAAGTTCAGACTGCAAAACAATTTTTTAAAGTTATATTATATATAGGCAACACCAACTAAGATCTTTCAAACAACTTTTTAAGAAACTGTTTCTACATCAATATAGGTGTAAGATTCACGTGACATTAGATTTTATTATTTATGTCGTGATTTGTAAGCTCCTAAGCGGATTTAAAACATGAAGGGTACAAATCGTTGATTCATTGCTCCATTTCCTTCTAGAAAATAGGAACACGCTTCATGCAGATAAAGCTTGTCCTGCTTAAATGCTGTCATTTCTGATGAAGTTCTAATGTTTACTAAACTGAACCAAAAAAAAAAAAAAAAAAAAAAGAGCTAGAAACATAAATCACTCTTCACTATGATAAGATTTTGAACTGGTGTCGTGCTATTTCCAAGAAATGGGAATGTGCCTCTCAGTCTGTCATTTTCTGATTCCTGATCTTTACTTTTAGTTAAGAACAATACCTGATTGGCCAGACTTATAACTTTATAAGCAGATATTGACATTACAATTTCTCTTCTAAGGGATTAGTTCCTTTCCATTCTCATATTCATGTGGACTCCTCCTTCCTTCCTCTCTGTCGAATTGATATCTCTCACTACTTCAATAACCCCCAACCAAGAATATGAATATTTCTCCATTGTGGTTTTGGCAAAATAAACAGAACTTTTATTCTCACTCCTACCAATTCATTCCAACAGCCTTGCGCTCCTAATTTCTAATTCATCTGATACGTATATGTATAAGAAAGGCTTTAACCAAATCAATATTATTACTTGTAATAGACCAAATGAAGACACTTGTTGAATCAAAAGTTCCAGCAAATATTTTTATTATTTATATTTGAGGGTCCACGCTAGTTTTCACGTCACCTCAACCAAACTCATAGGACAACTATCTAACCTTAAAACATTTTATTTCTAAGGAAACTTGTAGGATGTTAAATACCAGGTAGGCAGCCACCATGTTTAAACTTATTCCCTCAAGCCTCTTGACTTTTTCATTGGCCCAATGACTACTAGGCCAACCCATGATTATTTCCCAGCAAACATTATTCCTAATCATAATATCGTGTCAAATCATGGAACGTGTCATCACTTAAATAACATAACATTTCCCCCCAATCCCTAATCATTGAAAATTAGTAAACTTCAGCCTAAATCTCATCACAAAAAAAAAAAAAGAAAAAAAAAGAAAAAAAAAAAAGAGATCAGCCTAGTTAAATCACGAAACATTATAAACTGATATTATGATCTTAAATGGTGATATGATATATAGCACATATAAGTTTCAAACACCGTCCATTTTTAGAGAAAGAAAATTTTAAGATATAGCATGGTCAGGGTCACCTTCAGAATGCCTGTACGCAAATGTGATGATGATATATTTCCTATTTCGTCTCGGTAGTAAACAGAGTGAACTTTAGGGGGTAGTCTTGCAAGAAGATGTCGGAATGAAGATACACCGCTAATAGACGGTTTAGATTGATATTCAACCCTGACAAAAGAAACATTATAAACAAGACCAGACTAGAACAATCAAATTAAATTGATAGCAAAAAAGCATGAGGAGAAATAGGGAAGGTTCATTATTATGATAGGTGGTTAGTAAGAGCAAGAAGATACCATGTTTTTCTATACATCATAAAATGAATGATCACAGAAAATCCGAGAAAATAAACTAAGGACGAGGCATACAAACATTTCATAGCATACAAAATGACAATAACATTAAAGTGTTATGCTATTAGATAAATTTCTTACCTCGAAAAAACACCTTTGTGTCGAGCACCAGCATGGGCCAATTTGTAATGCTCGGTAATCTGAATGCTGCCCCAGTGAGATATTTCAACTTCACGCACAAGTTCCTCAACAACAGCAAATGGATGGTTATTCTCAAAATGTAACAATATGGGTGAAAAAGAATAAGGAGGGCGGTCTTCATACGGTCCATATCTAATTTCTTTGCTGACACGGTTAGTGGGTTCCACCTTTGTAAATGATTCCACCTTAGTGCTTGGGGTCTTAATAAAAGTTGACTGCTGTTTGATATGATAGGGTGACAATACATATGCACTATCATGGTAATAGACCAACTGAGATTCAGATTGACTAATCTCTTCTGGAAAAGGTTTAAGAGTATGCGTAGATATATAAAGCACTTCAAAGGTTGCAGTTGCTCCAGGACTTAATGGATCGAGCAAAGATATAGAGAAAATTTTAGCTCCATTAGGTGCATCAAGTTTCTCAGTTTGTTTTACATCAAGGGGAAGATAAGACTTTTTCTTCTTTTTTCGAGTCGCAATAGCAGCCTTAATTAGTGACAGATGATCAATTTCTGTAGGTGGAAAAGCAAGTAGGATATCTGAAGCTGGCGATGTTCCAGTATTTTCCACCTTAAAAAAAATAAAATAACAAACAAAATACAGTAAGATACATTTGCGAAACATTTACAGGGGAATGAGGAGGTTCTGGGATTATCCACTGAGATAGCAACAGAGAAAAAGTACCTTCAATGTAAGGAAAACCTTCACAATTTGAGAATTCAAGTCAATCTGCACAAATTACGGTCACAGTTTAGCATCTCAATAGCACCTCAATGTCCATAAACGTGAACAAGATATATTAGCACATGACTCAAAAATTGAAACCAGAGTTCCGTGAAACGAAATTATTCCCGGTCTTCGTTACATATTATATTTTGAGAATTCAGATATTGACATGCTGATGGAGTTCCAAGATCAAAATCAAACAAATTCATTATACATAACATCCACATTGTCTTATCTCAATTGCCAATAAACCGAAAGAAGATCCATATCTAAACTAAACATCCAAATGAAAAATGTTGTTCCACACTACTTCCCTTTGTTCGTCTAATTCCTTTTACCGCTCAATTTGAATTTCCTAAGAATCAAATCGAAGCCACATCCAGCAGCAGACTAAAATGTAGAGTACAAAATTGGCGGCTCCAAATCAAAACATTAAATCAAATAATCAAGGATTAACAATTATGGTAGGAAATGAGAGATTGTAAGCTCACTCTTTTCTCTGCGTTGACGATCTGAAGCTCGGGAGGAGAAGCGAAGGCCAACAAGGAGACATGAGCGATGATGGAGAAGATTAGGGCTAGTCGAGCTTTCAATAAAAACTCCATGGCCACTTCGTCTTCTACGGTTCAAGAGCAAAATTCAACGACCTGCATCAAACGAGTGAACATATTGCAAGAGTCCGAGTGATGGGCCGGGCCTGGTGACAAATTTGTGCTCAATGGGCCATAGAAAAAGCCCGTAAAAGGGTTGTTTTGACCCAACTTTTTTCTTCATTTGTTCCGATTATACCCCTGGTTCCCTTTTTAAGTTAAAAAGGGTTTCAATTATGTTGTATTTAAATTCTTTATGGTTTTATCTTAAAAAGTTCTAAGCAATGATATGTTTGTTAATACATTTCACTTAATGGGGCATTTCCATTTTTATAGTTCTGTCTAGCGGGTGTTTATATGATACGATAATTTGATCAATTCGGATTATCTAATCCAACTAAAATATGAATTGGGTTAAATTTTTTAAAATAAAAAATTCGAATTTGTTTGTGGATTAACAGTTTTTTGGTTGGATCAACCCGACCATCTTGAAAATAGAGTTACCAATCCGGTACGAAGATGCTTCTCAATTCTCTGCACCTCCGCATCTTTGAATGAAATTATTTTGATCAGGTGAATTCTTCTTGAATTTCAATCTAATATTTTTACTCTCATTGTAAAGTGATGTGCGGGCATAATCTAGTCAAACACTATCTTTATTGTTATGATACTTTTTGGAGGATAAAAAACAACTTCACAAGGAAAAGTTATAATATCTCGAACAAATTGTATACGAGTCTCGAGGTAAAAATTGTTGAAGTCTCACATTGGTAAATAAAGAAAAGATTATTATGACTTAGTTGTGATATATATATTTATATATATATTTATATCTATATTTATATAGACAAAGTGAGGCATGGCTGGAATTGGAGACGGAAAACGGAGAGATATCTCTTCCTACTCCCTTTTCCATTCTCCGTTCTTTGGGATGAATATTTGTGGGGTTCCAATTTCGCGGTTAAATGGACATTTCTACTCATATTCTCACTCGATAAATATTGCAAAGGTAAAAGATGATGAAGAACGGGAGATCAGGCGCTTTCAAGATGAGTACCTATTGATGCTTATAAGCCGAAAACTAAGGGTATTACTCTTTCTCATTGCAACTTATTTGCTATTACTCTTTTTCAGGCTTTACAAGATATGGTAGACACAGTATAACAGAACTCCAAAGCCTACCGACCGAACATCGTACAATTTCACCCTCCGTGTTGCATATGAGATCTACTCGGATAATTTTTTGCCTCCCTACCCCTGTTATGCAAGTTAGATTCCATTTCCAAAGATAACACTTCGAATGCATAACCAAGCTAGTGATTCGATTTCATCACAACTTTTTTGAAACATGGTTGTTGAAGAGAAAACAATTCGAGTTCGAGAAACTTTTTGATGGTTTAGGAGTATTTTCGAGAAAAAATACAAAATTTAGAGATATTTTTTTAATTTAGTCTAACGATAACTATAAATTTCTTTTTAAAAAATGCTGCATCTATAATTACTTTTTTCTATTATCATTTCTTTCATCCCTTGTGCAAATACTTTACTCTAAATGCCACAGAAAGAAAAGGGGGAAAAAAAAACAAATTCATGCGACAGTTCATTCAATAATTTCTATGTTTACCTGATTTGCTGAGGGAATTTCAACGCTTGGGCCTCTTCTTTCCATGAGGAATCTATCGGAGCTTTGTACACTCAAAATGGCTTCACTCCCAGTTCTTAAGCCATTGTCCATTGCATTTCCACATGAATCTTCCCGTGCTTTGAATTAATCAGATTGTACTTCTCGTTTATCCTCCCGTTGTTTACCACATCCCCGAGATTGATTTCCACATGGCCCAATGATTCCTATGTCGCATAAATCGATAGTTTCAGAGTTCAAGAAATTATTGGCGTAGTTTTGAAGAATTTGGAACAATACCTTGTGCAGAAAGCTAAAGACAGTCCGTTTGCTCATAACTTCGATATGAATCTTTTCTTTAATTGGAGGCTCCTCTAGCATAAATGGGAATTCTTCATTCCATGAAGGGTCACGAGTTTTCTTGATCATCTACAGAACCCAAGATAAGTAATCCCACAAAGGAGCTGAAGGACATTATTTGAAAACTATAATCGAAATCAAAATTTCACCTTCGTTTTCCTCTTCTCGCCTCTCAAGTGTATAACAGCATAAGGATTGTTGTGCTTCTCCCCTTCGACATTCCAAGCTCCCTGGACCTTCACAGATAATACACCTGCTCTGTCCGATGTCTGGTTCTCCGGCTCGACATTGCTTCTGCTTTCACTCTGAATGTCGACATTGCTTCTGCTTTCACTCTGAACGTCACTGTTTGAGTTTTCAAGAGCTCTCATGCTTTCTTCTCTTAAAGGAGTATACATGAGCTCCACTTCAAGTTTTCCTCTAGGCTTCTTGTTTTGGGGATCGTTGATATCTGTGTTCTTTTGCAAGTCAAGCACGAGTTCCTTGGTGTTGTAGGGCGTAAGCATATTTAGTGGAACTAGCTGCATTCCTAATCTATCATGTCCACCAACCTGTCACGATAAGTGGAAACTAAAGTAACATGAACTCGGAGACATTGTTTGAGAAGACTGGAACAATATGGAAAACAATCTTATATGGTTCCATGCTGGAAGGGGAAATTATAAGGCAAGGATGTTGTTGCTATTCTATTCTAGAAAAGGGGTAGGAAGTACCTTGTCCCAGTCATAAACTTTTAACTGAAGAACTTGAGACTTGGGATCATGCACAAGAAGCTTGAACTTCTCATTCCACACAGGATTCAAGTTCCTCATTTTGACACTCGTTTTCTTTGCTGGCCCCCCACCAATCAGTCTAAGTTTGACATATGGATCGGATGTTCCTAAAATATCCATCCTCAAGAGTTTTGTAGCTCGTACGACCTTCACGTGTAAAATCCCCGCAGGCTTTCTTGTAGCCAATCTATACAAAAAGAGACAGTCAACTTTCTACACAAATTCTGAGGAGACAATCACCTTTCATATATCATCTTACGTGGAAGAATCGAGGATAGGAATTTCAAGAACTCGAGGCCATAGGTAGAGACTTGCAACTTGTTTCTTTATTGTCTCCTACACAAAAACAAAGAATTGCCTCATTCAGAATTAAGCTAAGAATTGAAGTTCAGTTTCTGCAAATCACGTTAGAATCAAAAGAATTACCGGTAAAGCACCTGAATAAATCGATAGAGGCCAGGTACAGACATGATGTCTGCTCCCATTATCTTCAATCCAAAGTCTATTTGTGGCTGCAAATAGCCAGCAAAAAGTAAAGGAATAATTATTTGCCAAGCAATGAAACTGCAGAAACCATAGTGTTGAGGATTGTTGGGAGGGAGTCCCACCACATTGGCTAATTTGGGGAATGATCATGGGGTTTATAAGTAAGGAATACATCTCCTTTGTTATGAGGCCTTTTGGGGAAGTCAAAGCAAAGCCATGAGAGTTTATGCTCAAAGTGGACTATCATACCATTGTGGAGATTCGTAATTCTTAACATGGTATCAGAGTCATACCCTTAACTTAGCTATGTCAATAGAATCCTCAAACTTTAAATAAAGAAGTTGTGAGCCTCGAAGATGTAGTCAAAAGTGACTCAGGTGTCGAACAAAGGGTGTGATTTGTTCGAGAACTCCAAAAAAGGAGTAGAGCCTCGATTAAGGGGAGGTTGTTCGAGGGCTCCATAGGCCTCAGGGGAGGCTCTATAGTGTACTTTGTTCGAGGGGAGGATTGTTAAGGATTATTGGGAGGGAGTCCCATATTGGCCAATTTAGGGAATGATCATGGGTTTATAAGAGTAAGGAATACATCTCCATTGGTATAATGCCTTTTGGGGAAGCCAAAGCAAAGCCACAAGAACTTATACTCAAAGTGGACAATATCATACCATTGTGGAGGTTTGTGTTAGTAGATACAGTTTAAGTCACATTTGCACTTACCTTTTCGAGTAAAGATGCTACAATATTGGCAAAGCAAGGAAAAGTAGGCACAAGAGGCTTTAGAGTCAACCGTGGCATTGCAAATATCTGTAGATCTACAAACTGTGAAAGAAGCATAGTGAATATAAGAAAAAAAAAAAAGAACTCTCTTATAAGATATTTACACAGACATTCAAATGCTAAACATTGTCATTAGTCTGCTGTGACCTGAATTTTGATCCGGAGAGACAAGATATTCACCGCCACTACTATATTAGGATTGCCAGCCCATTTGATAGCTGGTTCCATCACTAGTTCATTCTCATTTGTTTCATACACTTTTAGACCTGAAAAGTAGCAAACAAAAATCAACCACAAAATCTCATGGAAAATTAATTTTGATCCAAAAAACGCATTGAAAACTTTTTTTTTAATGATTTTAGGATGTTAGGGGCAAGAGGAGATCGTAAAATGGCTCATCTACAGTTTCTCTTCAAACCAGTTTGAAGCTTTGTAGATGTTAATATACAATTGACATTGGCTTCATATGGGGATACTAACCATGAAATTTTGGAGAAAGAGTTCCAAGGCTTAGCTGCTCAAACTCGATAGCCTCAATCTGAAACTTCCCTATATATTCTGAAAATATAGGTTTGGCAATCGCTCTTATACTACCACAAATTGCCTGTAAACTAAATAATTTTACATCCCAGCTGATCCAAAATGAAAAGAGAAATGCAAAAAGTGATGTCACCTTATCAAGGTATGGCCAAATGTCCGATAAAAACTTGTTTAACCAGTCCATCTGTCCAAATTTTGTAATATTCATCAGTAAAATCCGGAGTTCAGAACAGCTGATGAACCAGGAATTCGATTAAAATTGAAAGAAATCAACAAATATTACGAACTCGATCATAATCAGGGTATTTCACCCACAATGGAATTTCAGGCATTAGATTTTGCAAAGAAGTTGTGTCCAACTCACAGAGAGGCCTCGTAACTGGTTCCTGCAGTTAACATTACTTAGACTTCGAAACGCAATCATTTCTCTAGGAAAGAACGCAGAGATTCGATTGAATAGTCATTTAAATGAATATTAAAACACAGAATGTATTAAACTAATGAATTCAATTCGTTCGAGGGAGACAACAAATTTAAAATTCCTCGCGTATAATCAGACTACAGGAACCATTTCTCGATACCGAGACTAAATGATTTCGAAAATAGAAAACAGGACATACATATCGATTTCACCAATGCAACAGATGCAAAAACTGCAAACTCAAACTGAAATTACCTTAACATCTTTAGGCTCCGAGTAGACGAAAAGTAAGAATCCGATCAAGAGTCCGAGAGGAAGTCCGATTCCGAATCCGAGAATTCCGAATACGGTGCTGAAGAATCCCATTCCAATGAAAACTTCCAAGCTGAATCGGAGAAAACAGAGACATGCAGATGAGAAAAACAAACTTCGGATTCAAATGAGAAACAACAACAAAAGAAGAACGATGAAGTTGAAACCTGAGCGATTAGGTGGGAAGAAGAACAGTGGAAACCAAAAGCATCCGTTGAAAATGAAAGGCTGCAAACTCGGAATGGAGAAGAATCAAAAGTTGGGGAATCAATTCCAAAAGTTCGTCTTCTACATGTGAAGATTGAAATTGCTGCTCTCTGCAAATATGGTCTCTTCGTTTACAGTTACCAACTTTGGCACGCAAATAAAACATGAACAATTCCCGGTAACCTTTTCCAATGGGTTAAAAAAAAAAAATTTGTTTTTTTTTTTAAATAAAATTAAAATTATTTTCTATTTAAACATTTTTACTTAATTTTCTTCTTACCTATAAATTATTTGTTATATTTATTAGTGATATATGATACTAAAAATATTGTGAGAGTAAAAGAAAGGTAGGCCCACTGCAAGTAACATTGTCTACTTTGACCGGTTACGTATTGTCGTTAGTCTCACGATTTTTAAAATATGTTTATTAGAGAGAGGTTTAAATTCTACAACCGAGATCTCACATTATGCTAAAAAGACCCATTTTGAAAAGACAAGTAGGAAAGTGTTAGAGTCGTGAGGTGTCAAATTCGAATTCTGAATCGTGGGTTCGAGGTGTTATAATATAATAACGAATGAGTATGAATGATGAAATTAATCTATCAGTAATTTAGAATAGAAATTTATTAGAATATCAGACAAAAATTCAACGTGCCACCGACTTCAAAGCTACGCAGTAGCATCTAAATTAAGTCAGAAAGAAATTTATTAGAATATCAGATAAAAATTCAACGGGTCACCGACCCGAAGCTACTACAAGCTACTACGCAATAGCACTTAAATTAAGTAGGAAAGAATGATAATTTGGGATAGGGTGGCATATTTTTGTGGGTAGGTTTAGGTAACTTAGTAGGGAAGAAATTTCCTTATGTTTTAAGTTAAGAGAAGATGGTGACGTGTACCTATTGTATGCAAATTATGGCAATGGGGCTACTGGCTACCGGCTACTGGCTACCGGCTACCGGCTGCTCTGTTATTACCGTCGTCAAATCTTTGACCAAGCGTCTTTGTGCTGACGTGTGTGAAATTTTTGTCTACAAATAGCCATAATTTTTTTAAAATTTCACTTAAAATTTTGTAAAAATTAAAAAAAGTACTAAAAAAAATTATTGAAAAAATAATTTTTAATAAAAATTATTAATACTTTAATTTTAAAATAATCTTTAAAATTTTTAAAAAAATTTAAAAATAAGAAATTAATAGACAATTTTAAATTTTATCTAAGTATTAAAGTGCTAATATTTTTTTATTTAATTTTTTTTAAATTGAAGAATATTAATTCGTTAAAAATATTTTTGAAATAAAGTTAACAAACCGTTTCTATTTAAATTAAATAAATATATTTTATAGATTTTTTTTTTAAAGTTTAAAAGTATAATTAATTTAGCAAAATTTTATATTTAATATTGGAAAAAGGCACCAACCACATTTAAATTTCAACTTTAAAATTAATTCATTGTTACCTTTAAAATTTTTTGCAATTAGAATATTAAATAATTAAAAAATGTATAAATTTTATTTTAAGTATTTGGATACCTTAAATGCATTTTCTCCTTAATTTTAAAATTTAAGTTTTATCAAATTAAATTTAATGCGTGAAGAAAATATTAATTAATTATAATTGTCCGTCATTATTTCAAAATTAATTTTATTAGGTTATTGTGGATTTGATCAATTTTAAAAAAATAAATAAATAAAGTGAGTAAATTTAATTAAAGGATTCATAAGTCAAATTGATATTAATTAATCTCGAAATAAATGGATGGCTTTACTTAAATTAATTTTGTGTTTGATTTATTTAATTTTATTTTTGCATATAAATATCCTTTTTTTTTTTTTTTTTTACAATATTACGTGTCGATAGTTATTGTCCAGTTTAGTCTGTTATGTATCGTTGTCAGTCTCACAGTTTTAAAACACGTGGGAGAGGTCTTCACACTTTTATGAAGAAAGTTTCGTTCTTCTTTCGAACCAACGTGAAATCTTATAATCTACGATGTTTCTTTATGAGTCCTTATTAACCATTGAAAAATAATAAAAGAAAGCCCATATGTACAAAAGGCTATTGAAGGAGACAGGTTCTCGTACCCAAATTTCACGTCGTTTAGATTGAGTTAGGTTTGTGATTTGAGCAATCTCAATAGAGTTCGCGACCTAACCTAAAGATAGAGGGTTGAGTTCGATTGTCGGGTTATTTTTTTTATTTAATAACTAAAATTTCATAAATTTCAAATATTAAATATCCATAAGCAAACTTCAAATATTCTTAAATTTTCGTAACAATTTTAAAAGTAGTGTAGTGTTCGGTTAAATTAGGTTGGAATCTTGTTTTTAAGTTGGTCGAGTTGACCCAATAAAAAAATTTCAACTTGCTCATCCACTCAAAATTTTAAAGTATTCAATCTAATTTTTATGGTTTTGGTTAAGTAATGCGTGAACGGGCTAGACACGGAGCGGGTGCCTCGCTGGCCCTCCAAGGGACATGGATTGTGAGAATTAGGGGTATACATTCAACCCGACAACCTGAACCAACCCAACCCAAACTATAAGGGTTGGGTTGGGTTGGATTAGCATTTCAGGTAGGGTTGGGTTCATTTTTCAGAACCGGAATTAAATCGGTTCAGTTTCGGGTTCATGGGCAAAACCTTCAAGTTGGCCTGAGCCAAATAAAAATATATAAAATATATTAACAACTTTTTTGTATTGATGGGTTTGCCAGGGTAGTACTCCAATCTAAGAATACTAACGCTCAAGTTCAATACGTTTTTTTTTTGTATTTGTGTGTGAACTTTTAATATATTTCATCTAAGATTGTATCCGACTAATTAATATTGATTTGTATTTGTTTGTAAACTTTTATTTCATCAAAGATTGCATCCGAGTAATTATAAATCGTGGATAAATAAAACTTAAAAAAAAAAAAAAAAATTGAGACCCAACTCGAACCCAACCCGAAAATAGAGAGTTGGGTTGGGTTACTACTCTAAAAAAATCTCTCAACTCAACCTAACTCAGACCATGTACACCTAGTGAGAATTCATGAATTGGGGAGGATTAGCGATGAAGCATCAACCTAATAGATGCTTTTAATACTATGAAACTGATGACAATATGTAACGAGTGAAAGAAGATAATATATGCATTAAGAAAAAATGATTAATAATAATAATAACGGATCGAACCTTAGCTACAAAATTCTCAACTTTAATCCAACAAACCCTACTTTTCCAACTCGAAGATCATAAATTTATAGCTATTAAAATAACAACAAAACATTACCCAAAATTGAATCATCCTATACAAACAATCGGGTGATGCTTGCTAGACGGGCGACACATTATTATTATTAATATTATTATTATTTCTATTAATAATACCATTTAATTATTCGAGGCTTGAATGTTTCAAAAATGATAAATGAGCTGTTATCTACTCCACAATTTTTTTTCTTTTCACACACACATACAGAGATTTCCAAAAATCCCAATAAAATTTAAGCAATTGACTTGAGTGGGTTTGGTGAGAAATTTTCTAATGTTTTTGGTAGGTGATCTTAGAGAGAGAAATTATTTTAAATAATATTTCATTCCGCTAAAAAAAAATTTATTTTTGTTCTCGATTTTCCTTCGTGGTTTCAAAACATGTCTACTATCGAGAGGATCTAGCCTTAGTGTCTCGCAGTGTCCAATGACTGACTATGACACCATTTGTAACAACTCAAACCTACCGCTAGTAGATATGACAATTAAAATATTCTATGGAGAGGGTCTTGACTGACTATGACACCATTCTATGGAGAGTGTCCAATGACTCAAACCTATTCTATGGAGAGTGTCCTATTCTATGGAGAGTGTCCAATGACTCAAACCTATTCTATGGAGAGTGACTCAAACCCATTTTAATAATTTTGACTCAAACCTATTCTATGGAGAGTGTCCAATGACTGACTATGACATCATTTGTAACAACTCAAACCTACCGCTAGTAGATCTACTATGGAGAGGGTCTTGCCCTATTTCGAGCAGTGTCTTACCGTATTGTTTAGAAAAACAATTAAAATATTCTATAATTAAAAATAGACTTTTTCATCTATATATTAATGATTTTTTTTTTATATGAATTAAGGATATTAACTAACATTTTAAAGATGTTTGTTTTTAAACTAAACTTTAAAAAAATTAAAGTTATTTGATTTTTATTAATATGGCATCAAAATTATTAAAATGGGTTAAAATATTTATTTTGAAATTATAAAAAAAATAAAATACACGTTGACAAAAAATAAAAATAAAAAATAAAAAATTGACCTTAATTATATTTAGCAAAGCAAGGTCGGCATGTCAGATATGGCTACTTCACCCACCTTCTTTTTCCCCTCCCACTAAGCGCGCTTATACACCAAACACCATATCGCCACGTGTCGAAATCTCCTCTCCCACATTGATCGGACGGTCGAAATCAGTTCTCAACTAACCCATCGGCTAACCCCACCCGACCATCAATAACTGGCTCTATAAAACGCCGCAGAATTCTGGTAACACAATCAAATCCCTCCTATCAAAATTTCTCTCCCATTTTTCTAATCTCCGCCGCTTTCCATGGCGCTCAATCACCAAAACGGCACCACCGCCGCCGCCGCATTCAGCCTTTGTACCACCAACGGCGACTTTTATTCCGACCCGTTAAACTGGGGTGCGGCGGCGGAGGCGATGAAAGGAAGCCATTTAGATGAGGTGACGAAGATGGTGGAGGAGTATCGAAACCCGGTAGTCCGGCTTGGTGGTGAGAGCTTGACTATTGCTCAAGTTGCCGCCATTGCCAACGTCGCCGGCGGGAATGTCACGGTGGCGCTGGCGGAGGAGAGCCGTGCCCGGGTGAAGGCCAGCAGCGATTGGGTGATGGAGAGTATGAATAAAGGAACCGATAGCTATGGTGTCACCACCGGTTTCGGTGCAACCTCCCATCGGAGAACTCGACAGGGCGGAGCTCTTCAAAGAGAACTTATTAGGTCGGTAATTAATTTTTTAATATAAATTATAAACTTATTAAATAAAATTAAAAATATAAGGTAAGTAGTTATTATTAGGTATTTCAAGCTTTTTGTATAATTTATGAAATATAATGTTTAAAAAAATCAATTATTTATATAATTTATGTTTTTTATTTTTAAATAAAATAAAAAGGAGATTGTGGTTGGTAAAAACATAAAATGATTGAAATGATTGCCGAAATTTCTAAATTATAAAAAATAATTTAAAAAATGAGTATCTAATGAACGTTGTGGTAGGTAAAGGCCAACTTGGAAAAAAATAATAATAAATTTTGAAATAATAAATAAAATAAAAAAAAAAAAGAAAAAGTCTTTTGGGAAAAAATGGATATATATATATATATATATATATATATATAGGTAATTTTCTTGTCAAAAAATTTATTATTTTGTTAAGGGAATGAAAATAGTGGATCATTAATTTTAATAATTTAATTTAAATTTATGATTTTGTGTAGATATAAAGCATTCGATTTTTTTGTATTAATATATATATATATTTTGTATAATTGGCATTTTATTTTTTTATTTTTGATTGAAAATGACTCTAATTATTTGACCAATTAAACTCTGACTTTATTTTTTTTTTAATAAAATCTTTGATTTCTTCGATCATATGAGCGGGTAATCTATATCTAATTAATTTATTTCCATAATATTAATTTTTTTCAATTATTTTTTTTAATACACTTTTAATTCAATTAATTTTTGTCTGTTTATTATTCTTTTAAAATATAATTATTTTAAAATTTATATATATATATATAGATTTATATTAAGCGGGGTGGAGACTGGACGGGAAATATAATCTCGTTACCTGTCTCGGTATCCATTTATGTAACGAGCAAAAAAACAATATTTCCCACACCTTGGGACATTTGAGTAGTTTGACCATTTTTATGTTTCAGGTTTTTGAATGCGGGAATCTTGGGCAGCGACACGGAATCTTCTCATAAACTACCACCAACAACGACTAGAGCTGCCATGTTAGTAAGAATCAACACGCTTCTACAAGGCTACTCGGGCATTCGATTCGAAGTCTTGGAAGCCATAGCCAAGCTTCTAAACCACAACATTACTCCATGTTTACCACTAAGAGGAACCATAACAGCCTCAGGCGATCTAGTTCCTCTGTCTTACATAGCTGCCCTCTTAATCGGAAGACCAAATTCCAAAGCTGTTGGACCTTCCGGCGAGCTCATTAATCCATCCAAAGCCTTCGAGCTAGCCGGAATCCATGGTGGGTTCTTCGAATTACAGCCTAAAGAAGGCCTCGCGCTTGTAAATGGCACCGCCGTCGGGTCTGGCTTGGCGTCCATGGTGCTTTTCGAAGCCAACATTTTGGCTGTTTTGTCTGTCGTCTTGTCGGCTGTCTTCGCTGAAGTTATGCAAGGAAAGCCCGAATTCACCGACCATTTAACGCATAAATTGAAACATCATCCAGGACAAATCGAAGCGGCGGCGGTAATGGAACATATATTATCCGGCAGCTCTTACGTAAAATCAGCTCAAAAACAGCACGAAATCGACCCATTACAGAAGCCAAAACAAGACAGATATGCATTAAGAACATCCCCACAATGGCTCGGGCCACAAATTGAGGTCATCCGAGCTGCAACGAAGATGATCGAGAGAGAAATAAACTCAGTAAACGACAACCCATTAATCGATGTGTCAAGAAACAGAGCATTACATGGAGGGAATTTCCAAGGGACACCCATTGGAGTATCAATGGACAACACAAGATTAGCACTAGCTTCAATTGGCAAGCTCATGTTTGCTCAATTCTCAGAGCTGGTAAACGATTTCTACAACAATGGGTTGCCTTCAAATCTCTCAGCAAGTCGTAATCCCAGCTTGGATTATGGGTTCAAAGGAGCTGAAATCGCCATGGCATCGTATTGCTCTGAGCTTCAATTCTTAGCTAACCCTGTCACCAACCATGTCCAAAGCGCCGAGCAACACAACCAAGATGTGAACTCATTGGGATTGATATCATCGAGGAAAACAGAGGAGGCGGTGGAGATATTGAAGCTGATGTCCACTACTTTCTTGGTGGCCCTTTGCCAAGCTATTGATTTGAGACACTTGGAGGAGAATTTGAAGAACACAGTGAAGAACACAATCAGTCAAGTAGTGAAGAAAGTTCTAATCAATAAGTATAATGGGGAGCTTCATCCGATTCGATTCAGTGAAAAACATTTGCTTCAAGTGGTTGATCGAGAACAGATATTCAGTTATATTGATGATCCTTGCAGTGGTACATACCCATTAATGGAGAAGCTAAGACAAGTTCTTGTGGATCAAGCTCTGAGAAATGGGGAGAAAGAACAAGCTATGAACACTTCGATTTTTCATAAGATCGGAGAATTTGAGGAAGAACTAAGAACACTACTGCCAAAAGAGGTAGAACATACAAGAATTCAATTTGAAAACGAAAACTCGACGATTCCGAATCAAATCAAGGAATGTAGATCATACCCATTGTATAAGTTTGTGAGAGAAGGATTGGGGACGAGTTTATTAACAGGGGAAGAAATCAAATCTCCTGGAGAAGAATTTGATAAGGTGTTCTTAGCTATTTCAGGTGGGAAGTTGATTGATCCGATGTTGGAGTGTTTGAAAGGGTGGAATGGTGTTCCTCTACCGATCAACTAGCTGGGTTTGATTCATGATTCTCTCGTTGTTGTTTTTATTTGTGTTTTTGTTTGTGTTTGTGTAATAGGAACCACAAAATTGGGTTACGTTCGAGAGCAAAGTAGCTCGATTGATAGTTGTGTTGATATGTAATGTAAGAAGGAAATAACGACGAGTTTAAATGAATTGAATTGAACTCTTGGTTTACTTTTTCAATCGAGCTCGATTATGTCCTTTTCATTTTGGAAGCCTACTCGTTTGAATAGGAGCTTGACCACCGAGTACCGACTAAATCACTCTGGTTCTTCCTTAAAATCTAGTGATTTTGGAATGGTAACGTGTAAGTGTAGAACAATTTGTTTTTGAAGCCACGTCTTGTCATGACGATTGTCTTTGTTGAGCCCATCAATGAGCTCAACAGGTAATGAGTAGTCTAACCTACTAAGTTCGGTCCTGATCGGGTCAAGTGTCTACTTGTCACTACCAAAATCTTTGCTTCTTAATTTATAAAAAATAAATAGGAATTTAGGTCGGGAGAAAAAGACATCGACACCATTGTGTTGATTTGCTAAGATAAGAAGGCGTCGGTTGTGATAGAAGTAATTGGAAGGGAGTGATTCTCGAGCTATACCCTAGTCGGCCTCCTATATCCTAGTGAGTGATTCTTGGGTGATTCGCTAATCGAGTTCGGCCTCCTATTTCATCCACTGAAAAATTAAGTCTATATTAGAGATGTCTGTTTAACCGGGACGGTCACTCCAAATAACAAGTGAGGGAAGGATCAGAGAGATTTTTCCAGTTAGCTATACGGGATAGAGTTTATAAGGAAAGATCGAAATTGAAATAAGAGACGGAAAGAGATACACAAAAAAAACTAAAAATCTAATTAAAAAATACATAAATAATTATTTATATTATTTTAATTCGATAGAAATGTGGATAAAAGGTTTATTTTCAGCAATATCTAAAAAAATCAAATAGATCCAATTTCCTCGAGTAAAAACGATTGGTTTTCCTTCACCAATGGCCGCCGCTGCTCCTCCGCCTACTCCGACCCCAACGCCAACGCCGCCCAACACAGTTCCGGCGGGTTCTACTCCAATCGGTCACCCTCTGTTCTCACGAGTCCGTCTTGCTACCCCTCCCGACGTCCCTCACATTCACAAACTCATCCACCAAATGGCCGTCTTCGAACGCTTAACCCATCTCTTCTCCGCCACCGAATCTGCTCTCTCCGCCAATCTCTTCTCCGATCCGCCGTTCCGATCGTTCACCATTTTCATCCTCGAAGTTTCCCCTAGACCCTTCCCCGAAAACTCCCCTCATAACGCTAACCCTAACTACACCCCCGTCGTTCACATCATCAATTCCGATCTCCCTGTGGAAGATCCCGAACGGGAGATTTTCAAATCGGAAGATGAAAACATCGCGGTTGCTGGATTTGTTCTATTTTTCCCCAATTTCTCATCCTTCTTGGCGAAGCCAGGTTTCTATATAGAAGATCTCTTCGTGAGAGAGTGCTACCGGAGGAAGGGTTTGGGGAAAATATTGCTGTCGGCGGTGGCGAAACAGGCGGTGAAAATGGATTACGGGAGAGTGGAGTGGGTGGTGCTTGATTGGAACACAAACGCAATCCAATTTTACGAGGAAATGGGTGCGCAAATCTTGCCGGAGTGGAGAATCTGTCGACTCACCGGAGATGCGCTTCAGGTTTATGGAAATACTAACTGAAACTAATGGAGTTTTCACTATTTCTTTACGCGTTCGTTTTGTAGCTTTTTCATTTCACTTGAAGAATCTGGAGAGAATTGCTTATGCAATTCTCATTAGGGTGTCGTCTTATCAGTGTATGGTTTTTAAGTGAATGTTAATCTCTGAAGTTTTTGATCATGATCTGCAGTGTTCTTCTTCATTTTCTGCCATTTTCATGAACATTATTCTGCCGAATTCTGAATCTGATGTGGGTTTGTTTTAGAATCTCTAATTTGACTTAGAAATGAAGAATGATATAGGTTCTGAACTGTGTGCTATTTGACTGAATTTTGAACCCATTATGGATGACGCTGTGACTCTGATTTTTAAACATGTTTGGATCCATTTGCTTCTTCTGCCTCTTTCCAAATGGTTTAAAGATCCTCTTGGTTAGCTCGTAAGGACTTATATTCATGATTGAGGCTGAATTGAATTATTGATACCAACTCCACTGGAATAAATTGTTAAAAATTTGTAGTTCAGTGGTTCCCCTAAACCCAGGGACATGATAAATTGGGCCGGAGACAGGGATTATGTATTGTGTTGACTGGATAAATGGGGTCTAGGGACGACAGGATTATGTATTATGTTGACCGGATAAATGGGGTCTAGGGACGATGGAATTATGTATTGTGTAGACCGGATAAATGGGGTCTAGGGACGGCGGAATTATGTATTGTGTAGACCGGATAAATGGGGTCTAGGGACGACGGGATTATGTATTGTGTAGACCGGATAAATGGGGTCTAGGGACGACGGGATTATGTATTGTGTAGACCGGATAAATGGGGTCTTGGGACGACGGGATTATGTATTGTGTAGACCGGATAAATGGGGTCTAGGAACGACGGGATTATGTATTGTGTTGACAGGATAAATGGGGCCCGGGGACGGAATTATGTATTATGTTGATCGGGTAAATGAGATTGAGGGATGAGATTATGTAAAAAAAAAACAAAAGTATTATCAAACAATTTTTAAAAAAATAATTAAGATACGTGAATGGACCATATTAAAGTGGAGTGGGGTTAAGCTTTTGTTGTTCCTTGCCGTGTTGTATTTTGAGTGGGACATTGATGTTTTGTTTGGCAATAAAGCATAATGCAAGGGAATTAATAAACTTCATAAACTATATATTATATCTTTTTATAAAGTATAAATCTTGACCTTATGTTAAAAGGATAGAAGTATTGTTTGAGTATTTTTCAATGATTAATTTATATTAAATCATTAGTGGGAAACCTATAATAAGGGCTACTTTTGAATTTGTAAATGTGGAAATAACTTTTAAAGATAAGACTCAACCAACCATATTCCACAACTTTATTTTTTATTTTATTTTTAATTCTAAATATTATAATTTAATTTTAAATAAATTTCAATTTACTCAATAAAACTAAAAAATTACATGAATATCAAGCTTATAAAAAAAAAATGTAAAGTAATATTAAATCATTATAATAAGACTTTTCATCGAGTCTAAATGGTCAACATCGAAGTTTGGTTTATAACATTACATCTAAGTTTTGACATATATAATATACATCAATCATGATATCCCTCGTTGCGTATAAACTTCTACAAAATATCTTCTACAATTATTTTAACTTTGAAAAATTATATTTTTTTTAGCAATGGCTTAATTTTTAAATTCAATAACGGCTTATAAAAATATAATGTTTAATTATTATTATTTTTTTGATCCTAGTATACTTGAAAATGAGTTCGGAATATACGAGGATTTTAGTTTTTATCTAAACAAATTGAATGTGACGACTGCTATCAATAATTGAAGGAGAAATAAATAATAATAATAATATCAGAAAAATATTAATTTTGAAAAACTAAGGCTCTTAATTAAAAAAATAAAAACTCATGGAATGACCAAAAATATTAATAAAATACAATTTTATCGATGAATTAAGTAATTGACTCTATTATTTCTAATCGATAAAGACGGGTAGAATATTAAATAATTATTTATTTTTGTTTAGTCTAAGAAATAATAAACTATGTTTAATTTTAATTAATCTTTGAAATATTATGAATATTGAATTTTTTCACAACACGTTAGATATTTTTCACATGTTTTCATAGATATTTTTTACATGTTTCTAATATCCATGAAATTATACAATTTTAAACTACGATTTAAATTAAATAATAATTTTAAAATGAACGAAAATAGAGTTTTTTTTTTTCAACATAAAAATAAATGTAAGAAAATGCCTGTTCTTCTTAATTTTTTTAATTATAAATTAATCCCCGGAGGAATTGAAGGCTAACACCCGCGTGGAATTGCCGGAGGAGAAAATTATCGGACGATTTTATTTTAATTTTTTATTTATTTTCAAGAACTGTTTCTAAACTCTGCTTCTTCGTCGTCGTTTTGGGGTTCGTCTTCTCCGATTGACAGCGACGTTACTGAAAGTATTCAATTTCTGTTGCAGACAAAACCCTAGATTTTACTCCACCACCTGGATTTCCCCATTCTCAGACACTCCATCTCGACGGCGACGGCGAAGACGACGGCGATTCTGTCCTTATGTTTTCTGATCTTCGATTTCGAATTTCGTCACTCCGATGTGCAAATCTAAGAAAAGCACGGACGTGATCGAGCCCAAGAGCTCTAGATCTTCTCGCCATCAACGAACGTCGAAATCCTTCGCTACTGCGTCGTCGTCGCATCCGGATCCGTCCAGTTCTGTGGATTTTGCGAGTTACAACGTCACCACTACGGATACGAAATCGAGCACTAAGAATTCGTCGAAATCTTCCGCTTCTAGTCGCGCTTCTCTTGCTAGTTTCAAGGAATCTCTTCCCGATAATCCTCTGATTTACGAGTTTTCTGAGATTCGTTCTGCGACGAACGGTTTCATCTCCAAACCGTTCTCTTCGTCTTCGTCCGCCACTTCGTGGCGGTGCTTAATTAGGGGAAAAGACGTTATCGTCTTCCAGCGGAAATTGCTCTGCCCGGTTGAGTTGCCGGAGTTGAAGCATCAGTTGTCAGTTATCTGCCGGAGCCACCATAACAATCTGGTGAAGCTACTCGGCGCGTCGATTTCGGGGAATTATATTTATTTGGTGTACGAATTTATCGCTGGAGCAAGTCTCGCAGAATGTCTTCGCAATCCGAGGAACCCTAATTTTACTGTCCTCTCGACCTGGATTTCTCGGATGCAGATTGCCGCCGATTTGGCGCACGGACTCGATTACATCCACCATTGCTCTGGATTGGACATGAAATTCATCCACAATCACATCAAGAGCTCCAGCATTGTAATAACCGATGAAACCCTAACTCCGAAAATTTGCCATTTCGGCGCCGCAGAGCTCTGCGGCGAGTTGGCTATGGCAGAGGAGGAGGAAGAAGGAGACGAATTAGAGATTACGACATACAGGCAACCAAAGCGGTCGAATAGTAAGAAGCTGAAATTGGAAGGGACGAGAGGGTATATAGCGCCGGAGATGATGGCGAACGGGACGATGAGCCAGAAAATCGACGTTTACGCGTTCGGAGTAGTGATTCTAGAACTGATCTCCGGCAATGAGGTGTTGAAATACACGTTCGAGGAGGGGAATCACGGCGGATATGTGAGAGTGAGTGTAATAGAGACAGCGAGAAAGGCGGTGGAAAGTGGGGTCGGTGGGGTTCGGACATGGGTGGATCGGAGATTGAAGGATTCTTTTCCGATGGAGGTGGCGGAGAAGATGGTGGTTGTCGGGTTGGAATGTGTGGAGGAGGACCCGGATAAGCGGCCGGATATCGGTCGGGTTGCCGTGAAGATATCGAAGCTGTTTCTGGAATCGAGGCGGTGGGCTGAGAGCATTGGGAAGCCCGTCGACATGTCGGCTTCGTTTGCTCCTCGGTGAAAGCATGACAGGGGAATGTGAGACGACAGTCGGCACACACTGTACATCAATTTTTTTTTTTTTTTTTTTTTAGTGATTCTTCTTCATTAAATTTAATTTCTGCTATTTTTTGGGGTCAGAGTTTAATTTTTAATATAATTTTGGAGAGATTTTAATTTTTTTTTGGGCGACATTATATGCATAATATTAGTATGATATGAATTCTTTATATATCTGCCCATAAATAAACGGGTTCCTTCGAAGTTTATTATATCTCTTATAAATTATATTTATTTTTTAGATGGCTGTTATTGAGTTGTCGAGTTGTCTTTTTTATTATTATATTTTTAAATAATCATATTTAGTTATACTATATTAATAATTAAAATTTCATAAATTTTAAATATTAAACATTTATACGTCATTTGGTAGGTTGGGTTGACACCCTATTTTTTAGGGTTTATCTCTGTTAGCTTTACAGAATTTCTTATTTTCAAATAATTCAACTCAATTAAAAAAATTTAATCCAATATTTAGGTCTGAGTTGATTTGGTTACTGCGTATGAACACCTCCAATTTTAAATGCTTAGTGTTAAAAATTAACATCAAATCGCTAGTCATGTTCTAGTCATGTTGGGTCGGTCGGTTTAACGTGGGGTGCATCATTTCCTTTTTTTTCTTGGATTGGTGCTCGACTATGATGGCTTAGAAACTAATCTCATGATTACCGCCACGCTCCAAAATTACTAATGAACTTTCAAAATTAATGAAATTTTTTAAAATTTAAGGGTATTTTTGAAACACTGTCACCATTTACATTGACTCGACTTTTTTTATTATTTATTTTTTATAGGGTTAAAGTTGGAAAGTATTAAGAGTTTTATTTTATAAAATACAGATATTTTATTATTTAGCCTAATAAATTAGAATTTGGTTCGAGTATGTATGGTCCGATAAGATAAAAGCCGGTTCAATGTTCCCGGGTTGGACCGACCCGATATGCGGATCCGGATCAAGTAGTTGGAGTCGAGGCTGAAGCTGAAGCTGAAAGTTCCAAATTATTCCGAGCAAATTCTCTCATTTGCCAGAGAAGCAGAAGCCATAGCCATGGGGAGCTTGTGTCTTCCTTCTACTTTTTCTCCTCGTATTCGCTGTTTAACTTCAAGAAATTCTATGGCAATGGTAGGTTTGCTCGCTCATCAGCCCAAGGCCTTAGCTCCACCCTCCGTCGCCAAAAGTTTCCGTTTCATTTCACTTTCATCTTCAACAAAACCGCCCAGAAAACTTCTCCAAGGTGATTTTGCAGCAATTTCATTCTCATCATCGTGGTTTCTTCCCTTGTTTGATGCCATATCCTAATTTGTTTGTTACCTGCTTCGATTTCGATTGGAAATTTCGTAACTACTTGCGCATTAATTCTCAAAACTATTGGGTGACCAAATGTGTTGAACAAATATACATGAACAATTGTTGGCGATTTCCGGACATTATTTCCTCTGTGAAATTATTGAAGTGGGAGGGAGGAGAACGGTGTTGAATGGAGGTTTCTTTTTCTTTCTACATGTTACTATTGTCGCAATTTCAAAGATGGAAATTAAACAGAGTTTACAAGTAGAACCTCTAAGGATAACATTCTATTTGCGTTCTGAGCTTATTCTCTATCGTATCCACTCATTTTCGGTCAGAAAATTAATTTGCCACGACTGGTAATGGAGGGCTTTTCCAGTTAAATGATTGAGATGGCATAATGAATCCGTTCTAATGATCTTATTATGGAGCTGAAATTAGCACAGTAATTGGCGGAAAGTCAAGTTTTATGGATCACCATAAAGTAATCGTGAGTGGTTTTAGCTAATTTTTTAATTTTCTTTCTTCTAATCCCAGCTAGATTGATGTTATTCCCCTCTCTTTCGGTTGCACTGCGGAAATTCGATTGTAAACATTCTCATGTAGATAATCAGTGTTAGGACAACTTTCTTTTCTGGAAAAATAGGGAATTGGTTATGTAGTTCAGCTAAGAAGTTCAATGCGATTTTGGGAAGTGAATAACTTATTGTACTTTTCAAGCAGTGAGGTCAGTGGCTACTCCTGCAGAAGGTATTACTGGGTTTGAGAGCATGATCTCTGGTACTGAGCGGAAGTATTACCTTCTAGGTGGGAAAGGAGGTGTTGGAAAGACAAGCTCTGCTGCCGCTCTAGCTGTGAAGTTTGCAAACAGTGGCCATCCCACACTTGTTGTTTCTACTGATCCTGCACATTCGTTAAGTGATTCGTTTGCTCAGGTGAGGCACTTAGTTTTTTGAGTTGTGCTGCAAAGTTCAAGTGGAACTCGAAAACGTGATAGATGAGTGGTTGCTTGTAGGATTTGACTGGTGGTACGCTCGTACCAGTTGAAGGTCCTGACTCTCCGTTATTTGCTCTTGAGGTAACACAGAAGTACTTGCTGTATTAATGCCTCTAGTCCTTTTAGGTATCTCTATTACATATGGTCCATGTAGAATTATAGATATGGTAGTAAATTCTAGGAGCAATTTACTTTCTTCTTATTGTGGTGTTACTCTTACGAACCCAGTGAGTAAAATTTATATCATGACAACAGATAAACCCCGAAAAGGCTAGGGAGGAATTCCGTAGTACAGCTCAAAAAAATGGCGGAACTGGTGTTAAAGACTTCATGGATGGCATGGGCCTTGGAATGCTTGTAGACCAGGTATGTATGAAAATTGCTTTTAGTATAGAGATCTGTCAAGTGACACGCTGTATACTCACCCCTTAATCACACTATTTACTACATTACATGATAGTGCTCAGATGTTAAACACTAAACTAAAAGGTTTCACACTTGCACTTGCTTGCCCAAAATGAAAAACACTCGAAAGTTCTCAACTATTGGTACGAGGATGACTTTGCAATGTTTAAGATGCCATATGAGTGAAAGGCTGAACTTCTATATAGGTCTGAAAATAATGGATCTCGGTCACTTCGATTTTCTCTCAATTCTTTTAAAACTCATGTAGGATGGAATATAATAATGCATAACCCTTTGTCGTAGTGTAATTATTTGACTGGTTGCTTAACTTTGAGTGAAAAAGTTAGGAGAGTTGAAACTCGGAGAATTACTGGACACACCACCCCCTGGTTTGGATGAAGCTATAGCAATTGCAAAGGTATATATTAAACCATAGGTTAATCTGTTTTTTGTTTGTGCTTGACGTGTATTTGAGGTTCTTCATGATTTTAATTCTAGTTATTTCCAGGTCATTCAATTTCTTGAGTCTCCTGAGTATAACATGTTCACTCGCATAGTTTTCGACACAGCACCCACGGTAAGCTATCCAACATGTTCTCAAATTAACGGCTTAGTCCATTCATTTAACGTTCTGTTCTCTGGGTATCAGGGTCATACTTTACGGCTTCTATCCCTGCCAGACTTCTTAGATGCTTCCATAGGCAAGATATTAAAGGTATGATTAATTAATAACCACAGCTTAATTCTGGATTAAAATCTTATTTGTAATTGACTGTTGTTTCTTCCATGAATGCCTACTGGATTTCCTGATTAGATCTCTGAATTCAACGCATCACTCACTTCAGATATTGTTGCTCTCATTGCTGTTTTAGTTTTTTGTTCTTCCTTTTTTCACAACCTCAATGAATGTTTGCTTAATTTAGCATTTTGCTTCAGCTTTGAACTTTGAAGGAGTCGTATTTGATTGATTACCTTTCCCTTGATCTGCATCTTTTGTGGAAACCATACTGCAGTATGAGATCTTGCTCGAAATGCGTATGGAAACAATCTTAATTTTTCATTGAGGCTAATGTTCGTGATGGAATTGGAAGTATTATCATTATCTCAGAATCATGGTAGTACTAGAAACCTCGGAACATTTTTTGTGGTATATTTTGTGTGATCTTAATTTGTTTCCGCTTATGATTGTGAGTCGATAGGCTTGACTTAGCAAAAGAAGTTATTATCTTTGAGAAATTTTAGGATAATTGTTAGTGTTATTAACTCGAGCAAGTTTAGAAAAATTGTTATTCTTTTGTTTAGTAGTTGCTCACTTGGGAAGCATAGTGCTTATGGTTCTTCCGATAAAAGAAACGGTTTTTTTTTGCTTCATTTATTTGTTTCGGTGTATTTCGATCGTGAGCTATATCCAACAATGATACGGTTATTTGAGATTGATTATGAACAATCGAGCTGTTTCAAGTCCAATAATATGCCTCTCTTATTCTCCTACTTTCTTTTTCCTTTTAATCTCTCTATTTTTCTCGTTCTCTTTCCTGCTTGTTCTGCATCAATTGTTTATATAAACTCTGTTGCTGTTTCTATTGCAATTCCTCTTTGACCTAAATTTACCGCAAATCTGATAACTTATGTTTTATGGACAATACATGGAACTCTAACAATCTATAGAGATTTGTTAGATTCTTCCTGTCCCTACTAGTAGTGCATCTCTTTTTTATACTTTTTTTTTATTTTTTATTTTTTAAAAAAATTTAGGTCTTCTTTTTAACTATTATCTGGACATTTAATTTTCTCTTCCCACTTAATGTTTCAGCTTAGACAAAAAATAGCATCAGCAACCTCTGCCATTAAATCTGTATTTGGACAAGAAGAAAAGCGGCAGGATGCAGTAAGCTAACTATCATGGAGCTAATATTAACCCCATTTTGATATTCCATTAATTATGTTTGTCTCATTCAGGCTGACAAATTAGAGCGTTTGAGAGAGAGAATGGTAAAAGTTCGCGAGCTTTTTCGTGACAAAGAAAGCACAGAATTTGTCATAGTTACTATCCCCACGGTACTAAACAATTTTATCATAGTAATATCTCATGCGATCCTGGCTAACGATAGGCATGAGCTTATCCACCTTTTTTTTTTTTTTTTTTTTTTCCCATGAAACCTATATACTTCAATCAGGACATTTTTATTCCATTGAATTCCACTTATTCAACATGACAAGATTCTGAGTGTATCGCTCTGGAAAAATTGGTCTACGTCATTGTTGGTAGTGGTATCCATGTCATGAAATTGAATATATTCATTTATGGGTAGATGACAATTTGTGGAGTAAGTAAATGTCTTATTCTAGAATAAACTGTATGGGAATTGAGTAATGAACAGTAAGCGTATTAGCTTTTAGTTCTACCTGAGCTCATCGTATTTGCGAGTCACTCACTTTTCGTATTTTGTGAAGGTTATGGCTGTGAATGAATCATCAAGGTTGCATGCCTCTCTAAAAAAGGAATCTGTCCCTGTCAAGAGGCTAATTGTCAATCAGATTCTTCCTCCGTCTGCAACAGATTGCAAGTTTTGTGCAATGAAAAGAAAGGTAATGAGAAATGTACAACAATTTGTTTACATAACCTTCTTAGTGACCATCAATGTAAATCTGCAACAGCCTAAGTCCACCACTCCACCACTGACAAGTCCACTCCACCACTGACAAGTCCACCACGGGCAGTTATTGTCCTTCTTAGACTTTTTCTTTTGGGCTTCCTCTCAAGTTTTTTAAAACACGTCTGTTAGGGAGAGATTTTCACACCCTTAAAAAAAATGATTCGTTCTCCTCTCCAGCCAATGTGGGACCCCCCAATTCACCCCCCTTCAGGGCCCAACCTCCTTGCTGGCACACCGCCTCATGTCCACCCCTATTTGGGGCTCAGCCTCTTCGTTGACACATCTCTCGGTGTCTCGCTCTGATACCATTTATAACGGGTTAAGCTCACCGCCAGGAGATATTGTTCTCTTTGCGCTTCCCCTCAAGGTTTTTAAAACGCGTCTGCTAGGGAGAGGTTTCCACACCCTTATAAAAAATGTTTCGTTCTCCTCTCCAACCGATGTGGGATCTTACAAAATCTCTCATTTCACATGCAAGCTGCTATCATTCATTTTAAAACATCTTGAAGCTTTGCATACGTTGATCTTTCTTTATTGAGCTAAAATTATTAATTAGTACAGGAACTTAAACGTGTAGTTAAACTGAAAATGTTTCAGGATCAACTGCGTGCTTTGGATCTCATCCGAAATGATCCAGAACTCTCGAGCTTGATGGTGATTGAGGCACCATTAGTTGATGTCGAGATTCGAGGTGTTCCAGCTCTTAAATTTCTTGGAGACATCATTTGGAAATGATTATGTTATCCAAGAAAACGCAAAGCAATTTGCAGGTATCTTTTTTATTTCCCTCTCCTATGGATTTTTTTATCCTAGTAAAAACTTTTGGATATACAGAGAAAAACACTCCCCAAACACATGACTGTAAGAGAGTGAGAGATACATCTGCCAGCCAACTGAGGAGTGCCGCAGGTTCAGATTGAGTAGCTCTGAAGTTGAAATAGAACAAACACAGGTTTTCAAATCTAGAACTCATNAGATTTAGGTCAAAAAAACGAAAAAAAAAAAAAAAAAGACTGAAGGTGCATCACGTGGTTAGCACAGGATGTTGCCTGAGAATGAATGTTATGTATTTTTTGGGATAATGTTTAGAAGTATAATAAGATGAATAATTTTTAAAAAATTGGGTGCTTGAATCTGCTATACAGTCCATTCTCTACTAATATTTTCATAGATTTTGCAGACTCAAGTGCCTGAGACTCAGTTTGATAGACCATTTTTAAGGTTAAATTACAAGTTTGGTCTTTGAAGTTATATGTTTTTGTCTAATAATCTTTTTATCTTACTTTTCAACTTTTGCATATCATAGGTTCCTAGATTTAGTTTTGTGTTTAGTAGGTCTGTGTGATATATTCAACATTTTTTTAAAACCAACGAGTCTCTTAGACATAAAATGAAAATTTGTGTTCAATCAAACACTAAATTTTTGATTTATGTCTATTAGGTTCTTGAATTTTAAAAAAATGTTAGAACATGTCAATGATGTACTAAAATCAAAAGTTTAGAAATTAGTCCGACACTTTTGCAAGTTGAGTGACTTATTTGACATAAAGTTGTAACGTCGGGAACTGATTAACCCGTTGTTAATTGAATATATCTGAAGGGCTATCAAGAACTGAGAATTGCATATTGGTTGCATGGTTGGACACTTGGTCACTTTCATACTGTTGAAGCCACAGTGTTGGGCATTTGAATCAGGTTTTTGCTGAAATGGGTGACAATATTCCCAATGAAAGGTGACGTTGATGCCATTAATAACCTTTTCTATGCATCATAAATTATTTAGGAGTCCTTCATAACTATTTTATTTTCGTTTTTTTTTTCTTCTTATTTTCTCACCATTTCTTTAGAAAACATTTAAATTGTTAGTCAAATTTCAAAACTTTTTTATTTTTATTTTTATTTTTAATATTTGACGAGATTTTTTAAAAAATCTGTAAAGTACATTTTTAATATATATATATTAATGTTTAATGTTTGATTTGTATTGGGTGGGAGTTTTATTGTATATAATTAAAGTTAATATTTCTAAATAATATTTTTGTTGGAAGGAAAAATTATTGGGTAAATTACCATTGTTACCCTCTTAAAGTCAAAAGCTTAAATTTAATTAATTGAAATTTATTTTAGTAATTTTGCTTTCACGTCTTGTTAATCAAAAAATTTAAGCTTCATGTACCAATAAATTGTGGGCACGTATGTTTTTATTTGGTTCATCTTATTCTCAATGTATTTTTTAAAAAATTATTCAATTAATTCATTTAATGTCATTTCAAAATTTTCCTTTTATTCATTTTTAATGGGTATTTTATAATTATTTTATGAATATATTTAATTTAATTATTATTTAATTCATCATACTTTTTTTCATATTTAATTCATATGGTTGTAATGACATATTCTTATTTAATTTAAACTTAATTCAAAATTAAAATTTTAAGATATATCAAATCATTCTTATAAATAGCTTTTAATATATATATAATTCTCTCATAAAATCAAAATATTAGAATTAATCTAAGGAGTTATTGGATGTTTGGTGAAACCTTGTACATAAAAAAAAAAAGATAAATAAATCTAAATAACTAAATAAACAGCTTAATTAAACTTTTAATGGTGGGGAGAGAGTATAAAATGACGCGTGGCAGATTTACCGGTTCAGCCGGTAGGTAGTAGCGGACGCTGGACACGGGCGGTTCTCAAGTTCCAAAACAGCGGCTCTGACGACGACGCTCCCCCACTTTCAAGAAAGGACGCTTGAACACACACTCCAAATTTCTCACATTCTCATTCCCAATTCTCAATTCTCCATTCACTTTGTTTTTCTTGTTTGATTCCTTTCCGTTGCGTTTCTGGATTGGTTTGAATTTGTTCGACGGTTGATCATCTGTGTTGCCCACTGCCTCTTGCTCTTGGTTTGTATCTACACAAACCTTTTCCATTTTTGTTTCTTCTTATCGCTTTCATTCTTTTTTCCTTTTCCGCAAGTCATTCCTTGGATACTCAGGTTGGTGATTGTTCTTTTGATTTCGTGAATCGATTTTGCTTTTTTGTTTCGATCTTCTGCGTGACTTCTCGTATTCCTTGCTTGATTTTTGGGTTTGTTTGTATTTTGAGGAGTTGTTGGCCTTGGAAAATCGCTTTTCAAATTAGGGTTCTTCTCTCTTCGTGTTTATGCCTTTTTATTTTTTTAAGGAAATTTTATCCTTCTCTTGATCAATAAGCAAATATTAGCAATTTCTGCTCCATCCCCCACGGCTGGCCTGGGAATTTTAACACTGCGACTGTTTTTTTTTTTTTTTTTTTTTTTTTTTTTTTTT